GAGAGAGAGAGAGAGAGAGAGAGAGAGAGAGAGAGCATGGTACGGGTAGTGGAGAGAGGGAGAGCAGTGAGGTTGCAGGAGGGACTTGGGAGGAGAGAGAGAGAGAGAGGTGGTTCTATGGTCACTGTCTGGTCCTGTGGTTGAATGTAGCGCGTGTGGTGGAAATGGCCCAGGCCCCATAGACAGTTTGAAGGCAATGGGGGTTGAACTTGAAAGATGAACAAAATGAGGTCAATGTGAAGGACGGGGAGAAGTAGGACAATGACAGTGGTTAGGTGAAGGGGTATGGGGAGAGGCAGTAGGAATGAGGGAAGCATGACTGGAAGAAGAGTGGAAGGAGGAGGGTGCAGTGTGGGAAGAAAGCTAAGCGGAAGTGCAGAATGGAGAAAGGAGGGGAGTGAGAGAGGGCGAGGAGAGGAAGAGGGTAGCAATGGAAGGGTTAGGAGGATGATTGGCTGGAGGACTTGGTAGCAAAGGACAAGTTCATGAACCTTTTGTGGACTGGTGATGTAGAGAGTGAGCGGTAGCAGGATGTTTAGAGTCTTTAGACAAAGGACAGACCGATGATGTAGAGAGTGAGCGGTAACAGTATGTTTAGAGTCTTTAGACAAAGGACAAGGAGGAGGGCAACAAGGCAGAGTGGAAGTGGAGACAGCTTTGCTTACAAATACCATCTTCACCCAAATGCAACGACCGGTCATTATAGCCATATTTGGTGCAACTTCGAGTTCAGATACAGCTGAAATTACCGGGCGTTCTATTGGGGTGAAGACGGTAGGGGAGAGGATGCCAAGGTTGGGATCAATGAGGTAGGGGGAGTGAGATAAGATAGGCTGGGCAAGCGAGGGAGCCCCTTGGCCTTTTTCCCCTTTTGATGAACGCATTGTTGAAGTCGAAAAGAAAAAGAAAAGAAATCCAAAGAAGGATATGATGAGCTTTTTCAGTTCTGATGATCAGGAGGATACCGCAGCCCATGTGCCAGGATGGGATGTGTAAGTTCTGATGAACAGGTCGTGAGTTCGAGTCCTGATGCATTCAGATGGTTACGATAATGTGAGTGATTACCCTATTCAAGCGAAAAGGGGGAGAAAGAAAGAAAGAGGGTAATGAGGAGGAGGATTCATTAACTGTACTTGTGTTTGATTGTTTTGATTACAGACTGGTTGTGTTCTTGGAGTTGAGCTGGACGATCTCATGCCGCCGAATGAATACTTTGAGTATTATGGACCAGATTACCAACTCCACGTGAAGCCCAGTAACATGGAGAACATGAACGACAAACCATACCTCGATATGATCAGGTACGACTCTGGATTCCACTTCTTCTTCGAGTCTGAAACTGCTTTTCTACTTCTGCTAATCTGAAACTGCTTTTCTACTTGTGCTAATCTGAAACTGCTTTCTGCTCTTACTGAAACTGCTTTTCTTACTGAAAATTTGAAACTTGGATGATGAATTGGAAATTTTTGATTTCTTTCTCAGGTGTTTATGGGTCGGAGAGCGAGCTGCTCAAGTGGGGTATATGGCTGTTGCGTTTGCCCTTTGCCTTTGGTTGAGTAATGAATGTTTTTGTTTTTTATTTCGGTGGTGGGGTTGGGGGGATTTGGGGGTTTGGGGGGGGGCGCAAGCGGGGGGGGGAGATTTAGGGGTTTCTAGTTTTAAGTGGAATTATTAATCAATCTGTTGTGCTACGTGAAAGGCCTTCCACGATTCAGACCCCAAATTTGAACTTCAGGGTCAAGGTCCTAGGCCAAGAAAAGCCAGGTCGGTCAGTTTCAGAGAAGTCACAGTCGGGTACGTTAGAGGTCAAATCCAACAGGCACCCGACGAACAGTCACATCCCAGGGTTAAAAGTCACGTCTCATATCAAAGAGTCATATTGAAAAGTCACATTCCACAGGCAAAAGGACACTTCCCCAGGTGAAAGTCGAAAGTCCCAGAAGAGGCAGGAGTCACAACCCACGGTAAAAAAAAGTTATGGGTTCCACAGATGAGAAGTCGCGACTCACAGGCCAAGGCAGCAGCCCACCAATGAAAATTCGGGAAAAGTACCCGGCACTGACATTCTGAAGCGAACATCCCATGGGGATGTGGGACCAGAACCAAGCCAAGCCCCAAGAAGCAAAGGCTGGGACGAGTTGAAGCTCACTCCGAGACAATATAATGACTGGCCAGCCTCCTCATTCGGGGAGATGGCTGATTCGCATGAAGTGTGGAAGTGCTGGTGCGCTTGCGCGCTATTGGGAGGGGCAGAGCGCTGAGCCAGGGTGCTGCGCTATGAGAGAGAAAGGGAGAGGGAGAGTTAGCTCTGGCAGGGAGAAGGCAGCCATAGGTGTGCCAGTGCAGAGTGTTAGTGCTAGTTAGTGGTAGTTAGTAGGGCTAGCAGTGGGAATGTATCCAGAGTAGATCCTTGAGTAGTAGTAGTTAGTGAGTGCGCATGCATGTAGGGAGAGAAGACACAGTGAGGACACAGCTAGAGA